TTCCCCCCATCACCTTCCCAGAGAATGGCCATTCTTTTCGAAACGGTATTCATCATCCTTTACAGTTAGGTTATTACACCTGCGACGCGACACGTGGCGGCAAGCTAATAAAATATTCGGCCCACGATTTTCACCGCTTCCAAAAATCGAAATTCCGCGTAAAAATCACGAGGATCTCGCGTTAATTCGCGACGAAATAATCGTTTCGACCGATTCATTACAAAACGGAATTATCTCGTCCCATCCGGTCGCGATGGAAATGAAATTCGAGCGTGACCGATGCTCGTGTCCCTTTAATCCCATTACCGTTGCACACCCTCCCCTCATGGTCCGCTCATTTTTCGATTATCCGCCATTGCCGATTATCCGTTTCGCGAACCACCCCGTGTCTTCTTCCTCGTCTCGTGAAAACGAGGCTCTCCCGTTTTCGTAATTGATCCACGTTCAAAAGGGAATAAGGTGACAAAAGGGATGAAAGCTGACCTTTCGTTTATATAAAAAAAAAGGGGAGAGGATGAAAGTTGCGGTTTCCCACGGTTCGATTAACCTCGAATCAATCGGCCGTGTTGGACACGTTCGAGACGATGGAGAGACGCGCACGTGGAATGATCGATTCGATCGGGGGAGAGGAGGGTTGATCTATGTTTAGAGAGAGAGAGAGAGAGAGACATTTCAATACTTCTTTGCACTCGCGTATTTATATTTAAGGAGGTTACCAATCAAATAATAAAAGTCCCTAGAATCGTCGAGGGGAAAAAAGTTTCGTCGAGAGTTTTGTCGATTTGCGAAGATTAAATTCGTTGATGATCACGTTGTATATAAAAGAATGATTTTCAATGGGATCCTGTAATGTTATTCGACGTATTAAAATTGTATATCTCTATATCTTCTATGAACGGGATCAGTTTCAATCCGGGGTTTGGGACAACACAAACGATTTGGCTCGAACGAAAATGGCAAATTGTTGTGCAAGTTAAATCTATCTATCTATCTATCTAATTTAAATTATCCATATTTTATCTCCTCTTGTTTCGTCTCATTTCGTATGAATTTAAATATGTCATGACGTAATGAACATTTAAGCCTCAACATTTTAGCGTATCAACTTTCGCGCTCCCCTATAAAATGAATCCTTGATTCTATATTTTTCACGCAAGTAAATAAATAAATAAAAATATCCACATTCCTACGTAATATTTATTATATATCGATTTTTCAAGGGAACATCAAGGGATACCGATCTTACAATATTTCCATTGCTTCGAATTTCTTTGTTCTCGTTATCAATTCAGATTCTTCGATGAAGGGGAGAATCTTTCAACAAATTACTTCGCGCATATAATAATTCAATCCTCGAAAAAAAAAAAGGAAAAAAAAAACATCAACATCTCCTTTCCCCGCCACGTACATCGTTTCGTTTGGCAAAACTTTAAACGAGAATTAATTTTCCTCCACCGGCTTAACCCGAATCTCCCCGGAAGCAACCCTCGCCCCATCCAACTCCCCCTCCTCGCCTATCATTCACAGTCGGCGGGATCCACCTCCCCTCCCCCTCATCGACTCGTGTTGTTTCATAATTCCTCCTTCATCCCCCCGTCGGGAGGAAAAAGCAGCCGGTATCCGCGACACGGAAGCGCGTCGCGACGAAAATCCCCGCGTCTTGGCGACCCCCTAACAAACGAGTTGCCGCTTCCTAACTCCCCCTCTTTACGTGAATACGTGTGTGTGTGCGCACCGCGGAGCCTTTGCGCGGTGCAAAAGCAGCAGGACGACGAGGGTCGTCTCGGTGTCTGGGCCGAGGAGGGGCTTTTAATGGTAGTTCGTCAAATGCCTCTTCGAGCTTTCGAGAGATACCTCGCCTCTGGTCTCCTTCCCTGTCTATTTTATATTCCTTTCTTTTTTTTTTATTATTCGTTGTTGTCCGACCCGTTTCTACACGAGGATATAAATTCGACTCGTCGTTCCAAGTACGTTTCTTTTATGGCGCTTATTATTTCCTCTCTGGTCACGCGTAATGGCCGATCGTTGCCAAGAAAATGGGGATTACGAGCACGCATTGCCAAATAATTCTGGAATAGAATTTGATCGTCGAACGAATGATCGTGAGAAACTCGGCTCTACGACGATCTCTCGAAAGGTTGAGTTTGGACGAGCGTTTAGTCGATGAAATTGAAAAAAAGGAAAGACCGAAGAGAAAAAGATCGGGAGACCGATCCTGTTCGATATTATTTATATATTAAAATTCTTCGTTCCGGTTAATTTCGCCACTGTTGACTCGTAATATCGTAATATAACTATTTTCCGCTTGTTTTTTCTTTTTCTTTTTTTTTTTTTATAATCTAATCTAATCGCTTCGCTTATCGAAAAATTTGCTTTCGAAAACGAGAAAACAAGTTGTCGAGTTGCACGTTCGAGGCGAATCTATTAATATATCGAGTCCAATGATCGGGAAAAATTTAATATAATAGTTGTCGAATAAATTTACTTTCATAATTTATCGTTCAAAACGCGATAATAATCCCAAATAATTGTAACTCCGGGGTTATATGAAAAGCGGATTTTAACAAACTTATCACTTGTTTAAACATTTTATTCGAAATTTTTCAACGTTAATTTTAATATAAGCTCAAATACTCTCGATTAACTGTATATAAACAGAATCAGGATAGACAGAGGCGATTCCCTTCTATATTGCGTATATTCGTCGGATAGAAACGAGCCTTTAATATACCGTTCCCCGCGCGGTAATCGATTATATTCCTCGTTAACCGTTAATGTCGCGATCCCGAAAATGGGTTGAAACGTTGGGAGGCGGAAGCACGTGCACGGCAGGAAATGAATCAGGATTACTTTTACGGCCGCGTTTCAAACTTTCTGGTGGCGAGGAGGAGAGGGAGGAGGAGGAGGGCCTTTGAAAATGAGGGTGGAAGGGAGAGGAGGAAGTTGGAAATTAGCTTACTTAGACGGGAGGCTGGAAATATTGGCAGATAAGCAGATACAGCTGGCGTTCGACCGATAAGGGAAACGGCAAAGACGGTCGTTGTTCCAACCGACCCTCGATGGCCACGTGGCTCATTGCCGCGCAGGGGGGAGAGGGTAGGTGATGCTCCACACCTGATGCCGGTTTGACTTATTTTCGGTATGCCAGGTTTTCCAGGTATACCGCATCGCCTCGCCGCGGTGATCGTCTCTTTTTGCATAAATAGATTTCTTATGATGTTCGATTCTATTGTTTCCATTCCTCGAAAATAATTTTCCGTTTCGTTCTTTTGTGAATGTTTGAACGGGACATATTTATGGGACGCGTTCACTTTACAACTTTACACTTTACACTCCCCCACGGAAGCATACCCGTAAATAAATAAGATTTTAAGACTTCAACACTTTGCACTCGTATTTATATCTTTAAGATTATCAATCGAGTAACGACTAGACGAGTAACGGGTTGAAGCAGAATCTTAAAAAAAAATTCAATGGAATAAGCAGTGAAATGTGAAATACATAAATTGGAATCACAGAATTTGAAATTTAAGAAGAATAGAAAAGAGGGACAAGTATGATCTGTTAGCGAACCACTTTGCATCTTTACTTACAATTTTAAATGAATAATTATACTGTATATGGTAACGTAGGAGGGTGTTGTTACGAATTTAATTACCGATAATACACAACTGAGTTGGACAGTCGATTAGAGGCTTAATTCGGATCAGAATAATAATTAAGATCGACTTTGGAAAGTCTCTGAACGATTGAAACGGATAAAGTAATTAGAGAAAACAACTAATTCAGAATCAGTATTACAAGTGGTTAATAAAAACTAAGAACTGATATATATATATATATATAATTATACCCCGATTAAATTTTATTTTGAAATATACAAAATAAAAATATTAAAACTAATATTAAAAGTTCAGTTTATCACTCCGTTTACGTTCTGGCTTTCCGACAGTAACATTTGGGCCCCGTGAAAAACTCAACTGAATCACGCTGGACAACGAGCGTGTTAACTCGAGCGATTTTCGAATCGTGCAAACGTGGAAATGAATATTAATCGTTTCGAATAACTCGTCAAAATGAGAAGAACGACGATAAAGAGATATTGACAAGAGGTATTGGTAAATTATGTTTTTAATAATGTTAAAGATATGTATTGAAAAAGAAAAAGTATAAATGTAGATGTATATTAGTGGTAGGAATTTTTAAAAAGATGAATCTTTTCGTTTGTTTGGGTAATTTATAGACGCTTGCGGTCCTCGACGATGGGATATTTCGTCGACAAGGAGATCTTATTGTCGATTTTATTCTCGTATTAGTTCGTAATAATAAGTAACATGTATATTACGTAGAAATTATATAATTTTATCGCTTTGATCAATGTTTAAATATTTCCATTATACGTTCGTATCCGTAATTAGCATAATCGACAGTGACTCCATGGCGGAAAGAGGATAATCAGACTTATTAATTAAATTTATGCGTCGAAAATTATAAATGATTGTCTCGAATCGAGCATTCGCGCACGTATTCCAATCATTTTCAAACCAGACAGACGTTAATAATCCGAATTATTAATTATACCACTGCATACTTCCTGCAGAAATATTTATAATATATTTCAAAATCGATCTCCAAAAGGCTCTTCCACTAGCTTCCTATCCATTCGCATCCATTTTACACTCTTTCAAAAAAAGAAAAAGTTAACATTCTAAAAATTGAAAAAAGTCAAAAGAATTAATTTTCGAATAATTCTAAAAATCCTGGTATTTCAAATCTCTTCAAAATTAATCTTGAATAAAAACTCGAACGAACAAAAATTTCTCTCCACAAAAATTGATCCATAAAAAATCCTAAAAATAAAAAAGAATTATGAACTATTTGTTCTTTTGAACATCCTTGAACGAACAAAATTGGTTCGACTCTCGTAACCACGACGAGAAGAAGAAGAAGGAGCAAACCAAAGGGTGGTTTTTAATCTCGTTTTCCGTTCGTTTTTCCAGCAAAGGAGCTGAAAGTATGCGGGAGCGTGAGAAGCGGCGGCGAGGTGTGCTGTTCCGCGGACATGGAGGTGAGACTGCAGGCGAGGGCACGTGACAAACATGAGAAAGCCACCAAAGAAACTCTTCAACGGTTGCACCAAGTCCTGTCCACGAGAGGGTCCAGGTTCCACAGTGAGTGCCTTCCTTCGACGTTTTAATCGTCTCTCTTTCTCTCTTTATATATATAT